CTAGTTCATTGATGTTTTTGCAGATCGCTATACAAGTGAGGTGTTTGTTAGGGTAATTGATGATACCGGTTTCTCGTTGGTGTGCAGGACCGGGTACACCATGACCCTGCGGAAGACAGACATTTTTCTAGAGATTGAATTGATATCTGCATCATAGACCGTAAGTTGGATGCCCTTCTAGATACACTGGAACATATATTTGGGATCATTTAAATCGACTCAAAATTGATAATGACAGCAAGAACATAAATTAGTTGTATGTGATGTTATAAATATATAGAAATCGTTTTCAAAATCAGCTCAATCAGACTGTAACAACGCGAACTTAGGCGAGATTTTAACACCAGTTTGCTGTTAGGTATCATTAAATAAGCTTAACCATAAGCTGACGCTTGACGACCAGTAACCTCTGTATGGTTTTCGTCGAATCCTCCCCATCCTTAAGGATAACCTGCTGCGTGCTTGAGCGCAAAGATAGCACTAACTCTCATTTGGGCTCTTAAGCACACGCAAAAACGAATATGCACTTGAAATAAAATATTTTCTGATAATCTTTTTTGGACACAGGTTGAGTCGCTTTATACAACTATATATATATATATATATTCCACTATCTCCAAGGTTCTTGAAGAGTGCGTGTCGAAAACATGACAACGTAATTTAATGAAAAATAAGCAAAATATAAACATTTCAATATGTCGCTTGTTCTCTGATAACTAACAGATGATGCAGTTCTTAAGCGATTCGCAGAAGAAAATTAAGCCGATGGCCGACATCGTGAAAATCCACATGGAACTTGTGGGACTCGCAGGAAGTCAAAAGTTTGCGTAGAAGTGTCCAGGTTCTATGATGTCTCATGTAGTTGCTCCAGCCTTCTCGTGTTCACCTATTCATCAGGCAGTTCCGACCTCTTTTCTTCATGCCGATGCGATTACATTGGAGGTGACAGTGCGTCGCTCGCCATAAGAATCAATCAACCAATTCAAAGCAGATAGTCAACTACTATCCTCAGTATAACACAAGAGTAATACTCTTGTGTTTCACTACTTAAGCTTAAACTCCCATCGAGCAAATCGATAGTGTCACAGCAGAATGATTCCGATCGCATAAATCATGGCTATATCCAATCGTGGCAATGTCTCATTGCATTTTCTCTCATTTAACCCGTCGCCCCTTGCCCCCGTTCGACGGCAGTCTGGGTACGCACTTCGTACTGGCTGACAATTTCATTCTGCTTTCGTTCCCAACGATGAATGGCGCTGTTTGACCACTGGGCCCAATACAACGACCGCAATACGAACTGCCGTATATCGTATGCCGTACCGTTATAGCCGACGACAAATAGGCTGCGATGGCCGTTTACTAGAGTTCGATGATAACATCTACTTTAAAATGAATGCGGACAAAGCAGACGATGGTCGTATGAGGAGCCAATCGGGACATTGTCAAAAAAAATGTAGCTAACAGTCGCATGTACAGCAAATATCAACGAGCAGTACGTCACACATCAGACAATAGCAGGATTTGTCATGATTGAACCGGAAGGACATATTTGGGTTTTTGTAACTCAGTATTGGGTGAGAGGAACGATCATCGTTATAATCACCGGGACGAATGCGTTCTGATTGGGAAAGAATCTTAGAAAAAGGCCTATATCGGCGGCGTGGGGAATCGTTATCATCACATTGACATATGCTCCTCGAACTCCTTCATGCCTTCAATAGGAATTAAGACTAAAGTGATACGCACGTTTTTTTTTTTCTTTATAAACGGCCAAGAGCCTGTTTAAATACCCACCCGTTTAAATGGGACCTGTGAAGATCACTTGAATGGGAAATACGCTTCCTTCGAATGAATAGCACCGGGTAAACGGGACTCTAGTCAGGCTTGGCAAATATCTGATACAGAGAAATAAGTCTGTTCCTTGCAAAAAAAAGCAAACAAGATACAGTAGCATTTAAATACAAGCCCTTTTGAAAAGTCTCGCACAATGGGGTAATAGTTAGAATTCCGAATGATAACTGAATCTTCTTGTGTCTGTCACAAACAGCAAGGTCAACGTGAAAATGAAACACTGATTGATATACGTTAATTGATTTTCTATACGATCAGCCCGGTCACGATTTCTGTCGGCTTGTAAGTTAAATTCTAAAATTATAATCACGTGACCTATTTCATGTGCTGAAAAACTTCCGTCGTTCGTATGCTTGAATTGTGTCAGCCCGTTATCTTAGCTAAGTTATTTTTTTTGGAAAACCGAAGGTCTACCGGTGGCGTCCATGATGTTTTTAGTTGTAGCTAGATCGGTAACATGAATTAGTTATTGACTAAATGCATTGACACCAGGCTAATCTAGAGTGGTAAGGTCCGTATCATTTTCTGCGATCAAGAACCTGTTTTCGGTGCTGATCGGTATCGTTCGGATTAATTTGAGTAAAATGACAATCCATTGTATTTATACTATCGACGTAAACATGTTCTTAATGAACGTTTCAGACCGACAAACGCATGTAGCATGTTTTTTCTTAGGGACTATCATGTCCCTGCCCTAAAATGATAGTTCTGCGGTCATTTTTGGATTGCTTTTGAAGAGCATATCAGGTGGGCTTCACTAAGAAATTGTCCCACAATTGCCACGAGTTTATGATGCACCATTTTAGACACGGTGGCAATCCTTATAATTTCCCTTTAGCTTCAAAATTGAACCATTTTAATATCTACCTCGAGCTATTCATCCATTTTACACATACTACTGTCAATGTAGCGCTTGCTTTATTGCTACGGTACGGCTGAATTTATTTAGCCTTTGTAGTTGCATCCAATTTTTTGTGCAAATACCAAATATCTTCACATATCGAACCTTGTCTTTCTACTGCGTTCAGCCATAACTGCGTCTGATTCCGTTCTCTTCTGTTGCTTTGGGTCGATTTCGCGCAGATCATGTTGTCACTACGAGCAGTCTAATAAACGTTTTCACCAGCTACCGCTGCTGAAAATGTTGCGAGTTTTATGTTCGCTTGCGCCGTTTGGTCTTTTTTCAGGCTCTTATTAGTGTCCCAGCTACCATTACTATCTTTCCTTCAACCTGCTATACCGAATCACGCCTCTCATGCCAGTCTTGTACGACCGAGTTGACCAGCAAATTACTTTGTCCGTCTAAGCAACTTTTCCAGCTATCGGTTGTTTTGGGAGTTCGCTCAGCCCAATTCCAACAACAGCAGCGATAGAAATGGCCCTATCGGCTTATATAGTAAAGGTCTATATGACTTAAATCGGCCACGCTGGCTGGTGCCGCTGCCCTTACCAAGCCCATGCTCACGGTGACACAAACAATCGTACTGTCGACATCGATAATGACGTCAGCTGACCACTAGCACCGCTGCGACCATTACTAGTACCCATCGTAAGACCGTGCAGCAGCAGTAGCAGCAGCAGCAGCAGCTCCAGAACCGTAAGCGCAGGATCGGTTCATCCTCGATAGAAAACGCTTACCGCTTACTGCTCATGCTGCTGCCACCGCCGCTGCTGCTGTCGCCTCCACCATTGCCCTCTCTGCACTTTCATCTTCCTTTTTCCCCCTCTCGGATTGTGCGTTCGACGACGGTGTACGGCCACCGTTTCTGCCTCAGTCTATCGATAGGAAGAGAAAGAAAACGTATTGTACACCACCAAATTCACCGTTAACAAATTATTAACGGAATCATAGCCGCAAGCAGTTGCTCCTCATTGACTCCTGTCGACCGTAACTGGTCACTCGGCTATTCTACTGTAGAAACAGCATTTGAATAACCACTACAACTCCTCTTCATTGTGCTCGTCCACGTAATCGTCGTTGAAGCACTGAAAGACAGCGAAGCGCACAACGGCGGGGGTTAGTGGCGCTGGGAGCTAACTCCATTCGCCCTGACGACATCGGCAGCGAGAATAGAAGCGAGATCAGTCGTTGTAACCGCTACGACGGCTTGTTCATGCCCGCGCACACACATACCCATGCGACAACGTCACAGCCGCGTGCCTATCGCCCCTGGTGCCGTCTCTCGCTATTGTCCCATTGACGATAGAAACGTCACAAGCCCTAACAGTCTACAGCTGGCCGCGGGAGAGCGGCTCTTCATCGCTAAGTTGCGTCGAGAAGAGGGTGAGTTCCATCATTCGTCGATCTACTGTGTTTTACGGTGTGGTGTCGCCCGTTCGTAAGCCTCTTTCAGTGTCTCTTCGTGTGGGTCGGTTGGAGTCATCATGGCCGCGTTAACAATCGTGCGAGAACTGCACTAACAACAGAAAAGCACGAGCGTTTGAAGCGGGGTGATCTTCTACGCGTTCAATGGTATGGGAGCTGATCGCGTTGAGTTTGTCCTGCTATTGAGAGAAGCACTCTTTGTGGTTCGGCAAGTAGACTGTTTGATATTAAATTACGCTTTGTTAATTTCGTTAGGGAAACAGAAGGCATCTACGCAAGAAAGGTTTCGCGCTCTTTGTCTGCTACAGATACTTTCAGCTGTGAAAAACCTTATGGCTGTTTAACTCGCTTTATTACTATTAATCGCCGTTCATTAGAAAGGCGTATAGTCAATTATTGGCGCGGTTTTCATATTCTGTTATGAAATTGCCCCTGGTATAACGAACGTGTCCGTGATTGTGTGACCGTACCAATTAATCGCTTCCATTCGAGATCGCCACAGGCTACAGTGTCAAATGTGTTTAGCAAAACAACTACCGCTTTTCGTTCTGATAGGATCGAGTTGCCCCAACTAGGACAAAAACTGGACCACTGATAAGGCTCACTTCGCTACGTAACAACAATAGACTGGTCGTGTGTGTATCGTCGACTACATACGGATTCGCGTTGAGACACCTACAGGACATGCGTCTGTGAGGCGCAGAAGTGAACGTCTATACGACTGGCCGCAGCGTGCTTACGTGTAAAAGACAACGATTTGAGCATACAGCCGCCGTGAAACAAGCCCTATATCCCATAGCCATTACCAGTGCCACAGGAAGTCTGCAAGTATTGTAGCTCTCAGTTCAACAGACATAGTCGAAACAGAAGTTCCAGTGAAAAAGGTAAAGAAAGCTCGATCTACGCTGACTCCCCAGACAATCAACTGTAAGTGAGCAATACATGAGCATCTCGGAATAAAATAATCTGTAGGCAAGAGACGAATCGTTTAAAAAAAGTTTCACGGGATGCTGTCGCCTTTGCCAAGCATTAATCGTCACTATTTGACAAATAACTACTTGCCGATCGTTGACAATTAATGAGAATTTCTTTGAATGACCACACGCACGATACTGACATTTTCTTTTATATTTGACCTTACCTGAGGTAAGATCGCCGGACGTCAAAAGTACTTGAAGAGTCAATACGGTTTCGAGCAAGTCTGCCTTTTGCCCACCTGCTTTGGCCACCGATGGCGTTACGTGCAGTTGCGACCGCCACTGCACGTATTGCGATCTGATGTGCCGACCTTCCGTCGCCTATTATGATCGCCACTGTTCTTATTTCCATTACCTTTACCATGTACCGATCAAGACACTATTTTCGTGTGTCGCTGACCGAACGTCACACAAAGCCCAAATCGCTAGACCCAGACGGGCACGACCGGGTGAGCCTCTAAGACAACGCATCTAGATACACCTCTATTAGGCGAAGTAAATATATTTACTACCCTTATGATATACACTGCCTGCTGTGACTAAACGTGAACTCGCATTTTATCGCTTCGTTTCCATGTACTTGACCCGGTCGACTTGAGACAACTAAAACGTCGTCTTAAGCTCATCCTCGCGCGACCGGCAACAATCGTTTTGAATAACAGATGCTAGCTAGATTTGTTGCATTTTTGGCTCGTACACGCTATTTTTTAGATAAAAATGTAGCTATTCATTGTTTCGGGGCTAAGTCCATACTTCTAATTTGCGAATATTAATAGAGATCGTACCATATAGCTAAAAGGTTTCCGCTTGTGGAGAAAAGCCCAACACAACTTCGATACACGCCGTGGCCACGACGGCGCTTGGACGTTCGCTAAAAATCCTCCCTAAACAAAAACAAACATTCGTAACATAAATCGGCCGCAATTTAGCGTTTAGTTATTGTAAAAATATGTATCATATATTTTATGCATGGCGGAATCCAAAGTAGAACTTTAAAGGGGATCGTGAGAACAAGCATGGAATCACTTAGAGTAATGATACCATCTAGAACTTGGAATTGTAGCTAGTCTCTGTGAAATACTTTGTTCCTGTCCCAGTTATTTTTTGTACAGGGATAATGAGCTTGAGATGTTGCATGAGACAAGCGCACGACTACAAATGCACGTTTGTAGTATAAACGTATAGTCTATGTTAGGTAGTGGAAAAATGTTTATCTATATTTAGAAGGGTCTAGGTAAACTGTTTTTCAACAATTATCGGTCCGAACTAGGCTCAATTAGATTGTTCGACTAGAATTTTAAGGCGAAAGCTGTCTATCTATCCACCACGACAGGTGCGCCAATTAGACACTTAGTAAACAACAATCAGGACTCACAATATACGAAAGATGAAATTTCAGTCTGCGCTAATATTTCACCTAGTAAGCGCCGAGATTGTTCTAACTTCTGGAAAAAGTTAAAGCGCTTCAGTTCTCTGCACTTGTACGCTAGACAGTTGTGATACGCCCCTTTTTTTTTTTCGAATTTTGGCTTTACCTTCTAATAAACAGGGGCGTAGCGTTGATATAGCTATGTATGAGTCCGATGTATCGCGACTGCTTGCCCCACTCATGTCACCGTAAACTTGGCTGGTAGACAACATGTCGGTGTCTATAGTACTCAAATATACTAAACAATCGTTATGCTGTTATTCTTGCATAGCCCTGAGGCAAATCAGATTATTCGGTAGGCGACGCAAAGGAATTTTGATGATACACTTTCTGGGGGCTGGGCTTTCCGTTCGCAGTTTGTTTCGGTGTCGCTGATATCACTTTGAGTGAAAAATTATGGACGCTATATTTACACTGAATGGCTAAATCATTGAAACAAGCTGGACAGTCTCATGAGTAAACGAGCAAAACACCTTTTTTGCTCAGTAAGCTTTTGTTTATTCGAGTATCCTTCCTGGTTTTTATTTTGTATAAACAACATTGAAAAGCAGAGCATTTTTCAGCTACGCGCGCATGGTTTCTTTGCGTTCCTTTCTTTTTTTTTTTTTTTTCGGAAGCGTAACAAAGTTCACTGCGGCGACGAAGCTCTGTACGTATAAATAGACACATTCGACTTTCGTGGATCCGTAGCGATCTTCAGTGCATTTTCCATTTGTGTTTGCGGTGCTTTGCACATAGTGTTGGCTATTCATACACTGTTTATAGTCTAGTAATCCGTATGGCACATTTTTTTTTTCTATTTGACATACGAACTTCCAGTTTTCCCGATTTCATTGCGGTGCTTAAGATAGGCTTGAATGAAAACCTGCTCATGTCTGATAGACGTTTTCATAATACGATCCCAACAATACTCGCATTGCCATGCAGGCTATAATCTAACCAAGTGGCAAGCTGTTTGTAATTAAAATAAGCACTCGAGTCCATAAAAGGTCCGTTCGAGGAAAGCCTAACCTATTAAGAAACCTTCTTCATTCTGCGAGGCAGTTGCCAGCAGATATTCTGCAAAAAGATCGCTGTCAATCGCCTAGATTCAGTATACCAAACAAAGCTATAATCCACTATCAGTCCTGCCCCCCGTGCCTTTTAACTGCAAATCACATGGGACACATCTGCGATATAATTTAGCTTTTATGAAGCACCAAGCACGTTGATGTTCGTTTTCAGTAAAATCTGATAAAGATCCGTATCAGACTCTCTAATCTATATCTTTCAGTGTGTCTTCAGTGATTAAATATTCGAAAAGAAGTACGACTCGCTTAAGCGCATCACCTGGCGCCGCAACGATTTGCCAATTTAAGCTCTAAAAATACATGCCCTTTCAACACATGGCTAGTGGTCAATATCGGTGCCAGCTCCGTATTTGAGTCCCCGACCAGCTGCTGTATCAATATTATTTTACTGTGGCCGCGTGTGTGTGCAACGGTTGGTATATCTTGTACACCAAATATCATACTTGTATGTACACACAGTGAATGATATTGTATGATAAACATTTTGTTCCGTAATGGTTTTTATCGGCGGACTCTTTCGGCAGCCACGGAAACGCCGCCGCGGGATGTTTGATTTCTGTTCATAGAAATAAAACCTTTTATATCTGATCTGATTTATGCCACAAACGCCCCGTAGATTTAAACGATTTAGTCGGCCTAGACGGCTTACACTGACTAGATCGCCGGTCCATGTTGTAGGATCTCTAAAACAAACATAGAGCTGGATACGTACGGCATAATTTGTTTGGCTGACTGCTTACGTCCTTCCGAATCGACGATTTACTCAAATATACAAATTCATATTATATCATGTTATGCAAGCTTCGATTGAGCTAATTGACATAAAACATATGTAAAAAGGATTGGTTTTATTTAGAATTTGCTTAACCCCTAACGTATTACGTTCGGCAAGCAGTAGGACAACTATGCTCTATTATTCCTTGAAATCCACTTAACTGCAGTTCGAAATATTTGGCTGTCCTTATGCGTCCTCTATACAGTTTCGGGTTCCAACATGTCAGGATCGCCTGATCTTCCCAGGCAACAAATCGCAAGGTATCAGCGGGAATATAGTGGCGTTTTCAGTATTGCGAACAGTCAAACGTCATTAAGGCTATTGTAGTTGAAAAATATTTTCAGTATTTCAAAACTTTATGTCCAACATTAGGAAAGGGATGAGCAAAACAAATGGAAATGCACTTGGGGCCGTACTGCATTGGGCAATAAGCTTGTAGGACACCGGGTATTAGAAAAAGCATTGTACTCACCTATTATACCATTTGTGGAATGCTCCTATCTCACAGTAGAGTCTGCTTCTACTTACTGGTTAAGGCAAAACTTTATTCTTTTCGATTTGCTTAGAATTTCTGCACAACTGCTCAACTGGTTGAGTAGCTAAACATAAAATGTTAGAAATTCTGTTTGTGAATTTTGGAGAACTCGTTTATTTTTCGTTTGTGAGCATCCGGCGGAAACTAAGGATGCTCGGATCGACGCGGCCGACCTTACGCAAAACCGTTAAAGAGAGATGCACCGTTTGCTGCTTTCGTTCGCAGTAGCGAATCCGTGCGACGTTTTATTATTACGGAGAAATTTAGCTATCGACTTTAGTTCACGGTGCGCTTCTTTGATTTTGTCAGATTTATTCGTTCCGTTGACACTGTGACAGGACAAGCAGATGTGTCGCCGTTTCGTTCGTGTCCCATAAACTACTCTTACAAATGTAAGGGAAGCCGATGAAAACAATTAAGGCCAATGTCTCATATGTTATTTTATTTCAATTGACACCGCCGTACGTATTGCTTTTGTCTCTCCTGACATTACGGGTAAATTTGGTTGCGAGAGACATGAAATTCTGCCAACTCCTTAACACAAAATTAGTCAGCTGGCAATGCTGATATTATGGGTGTTCTACTTTAGGAAAAAAGTATCCACTTCGACCGCAACGAACATTGTGACGTTCCTCAAAAACGACAGTTTAAAATGTGTATTTTGCTGTAAACGTGAAGTCGTTGTTTAGATAGCAATCTGCGAGATTGGCTCTTTATGAGACATTCCAGCCAACAGGAAGGTTAGGCATCGTGGCTAAGCACTTCCAAGTTCATCATTCAGCCTGCCAAGTTTCGAAGAGCACCCCGTTTTGGGCTTTTGTTCATCGCCAAAAGGCAAAAAAAAACCCAGCTAGAAAGGTCTTTTTAGTATAAATTAATTTTAGCCTTTAAAATGGCGATATAAAGAAAGGCTGGAGGACGTAGTTGCAATTTTTTACCATGAATGACGCAAACGATAACAGCTCTTGAGTCAGCCAGCCGAACCTGCCGTGGAGTTAGTTGACTTTTTATCCTTAGATTTCTACGATAATGCACGCACATGCTCACTAAGGTGTGCATGTGCGTGCCTGTACAATGTAGAGATTTTTTGTTATTGTTTATGCGCTGTACATTTCCGTTCAACGATGCGTGCTACGTAGCC